AGATGTAATGTATAACTTAATACGCTAGGGTTCCTGATAAATAAATTATTGAATTTCTAACCAATGCGCACATCGTGGTATTTTATTATTTCCTCCCTATGCGCCGGTCGTATAGTGACCGTCCGGGGGGAGGGGGGGAAGGTGAAAAGGGATACCTGTTACGCACCGCGCCAGTGCTACTACACACCGCGCGACCTTGAGTTGGGCGCCAGACATGGTTTACGTAACGGGTCAAATAGTGGGTTGGGGCATACACTGCCACAGTAATTTAAAGGAAACTTGTCGAAAAAACAAAAATAGTTGTTGTTTTTTAAATCAATCATCGCTGATTTTAACACAGGCGTAAGTCATATTGAACAACTGTCATTAACATTAAGAGTTGTCGCTTCTAACTACATTCAAAATATATATAAGAAATTGAAGAATTCTTTAATCTTTTTTTACAAGATAGTGATCTAAGCGGACAGGGTTTGACAGAACGTATTCTGACACATTTGAACAAGTTAGGTTTTGAGTTAAAGTGGCTTAGTTAGAGGACAAGGCTTTGACGTCGGAACTAATATGAAAGGAGTGTACAAAATAGAATACTTCAAAAATATCCAAAGGCGTTTTATGAGCCCCACTCATGTCATTCTTTAAACGTAGTTGTGAATGATTCAGCACCTTCTTCTACAGAGACAACTTTTTTTCTATTGCACAAGAACACTTACACTTTTTGTATGGATCTACAAAGCGTTGGGAAGTGCTAAAAATATGTTTCACATGAATTAACTCTAAAACCATTGAGTGCTACTAGGTGGTCAAGTAGGAAAGATGCGTTAAAACCTTGAGGATTTCAACTTTGCGAAATCGATGATGAACTACTCCAAATAATAGAAGACGACAACAGAGAAGGAGAAACATTAATTAAAGAAATAAGCTTAGCCAAAAAAATTTAAACAACTAAAAATTTATATGCGGTAAAATTCATTGGCATGATATTGTACCGTATTTGAAATATATTGAGTCTAGAAGCTATTGAAAAAAACAAACAAATTAATTCGTCAGAGTATGTAAGGATGTCATCAGAAATCATAAAAAATTGAAAAGTTATAGAAAATCTGGATATGATCAGATGAAATTTGCTGCTAATGAGATTGCAAAGAATCTTGAATGGAGATCAGAATTTCCTGCCGAAACTGAAGTTAGAGCCAGGAGGAAAAGTCGTCAATTTGACTTTAGGAAGAAATTGTCGATGAAACCGTAACAGAGGTGAATACATTTAAAATAAACGTTTTCAATTATATTTTGCACATTACCCTAATTCTCTGAATTAACGATTCACGATGGACACCCATTGCAAAAAATTGTTAGTTTTTATGTGACACTTTAAAACTCAAGGACATAGATGACGAAACGCTAGAAACTTAATGCCCCAGTCTTCAGTAAATACTTTCGGTCGAAAAGGAATCAGATATGAATGCTGATGTTCTTCAACAAGAATTACGTGATGTATCCCAAATACTTCCATATTCCGTGAAACCTTTGGATGTTTTAAATTATTCGTGCCAAAAATAACTTAATTAATTTGTACCCGAATACCTTTGCAGCTCTGTTTGAATTTTTATTAACACTCCCTGTCTCTTTGCCTTGTGGAGAAATAATTTTTTGTCCAAATTAAAATAAATAAAACACTACTTAAGAAGTTCAATAAGCCAAACAAAATTTAGAAATCTGTCATTAATTTCAATTGAATCTACATTGGCTGCCACTCAGACTACATAACCCTAATTAACGAATTTGCTAAAAAGTTAAAGTTAGAAGGGTAACATTAGTAACAATGTGGTAGATTGCTTTAATTGACAGTTGATTTGATTATTTTAAAATAGTTTATATTTTCAAAATAAAAATAGTATTCGTATATTTTGTGCAGTTAAAAAAAAATAAAAAATCACAATCAAAGGTTATTTTAAAGAAAAAAAAATTAAGAGGCGGCATTTCGAAGACTTGCATTATACTGAGAAAATATACAACACGGCCCTGTAGAGGAGCGTAGAGAGCACAGCTGACTTGTATATCTTTAATTTTAGTGCTGATACCTCTCCTGGACCATACATTCTTATACAATTTGCCTTCAGTGGCTCACGACCAAAGTGCCCGTGACAATATGGCTATGGCTCACGACCAAAGTGCCCGTGACAATATGGCTATGGCTCACGACCAAAGTGCCTGTGACAATATGGCTACGGCTCACGACCAAAGTGCCTTTGACAATATGGCTATGGCTCACGACCAATCTTTGATGGAAGCTGTTGAGTTTCCGCTCCTGACTGGTATACGTGGTCCACACTTCGCTACCATATAGGAGCGTGCTAAGCACGCAAGCCTGCTATACATTTATTTTTGTTTTATCAGTTAGATGGGGATTATTCCACACCCGCTTATTCAGTTTAGCCATAGTTGCTGCTGCTTTTGCAATCCTGATATTGAGCTCTTCATCAACGGAGAGAGAACTAGAAATATTGGATCCCAGGTATATGAAATGATCAACAGCCGAAAGATTATGACCCTCAATAGATATGATTGGAGGGGACGGTGCTTTTGGAGGGGACGGTGCTTCTTGCATCATTAAATGCGTTTTCTGTAGACTAATCGAAAGACCAAATTCTTTACAAGCATGTGATAGGCGATTAACCAGCCCCTGCAGACCTTCTTCTGTATGAGATGTTAAGGCGGCATCGTCAGCGAACAGCAGTTCACGAATCAGCACCTTTTTTTACTTTGGTCTTTGCACGAAGGCGGGCGATATTGAACAGTCTTCCATCAGATCTTGTATGGACGTACACTCCATCTTCACAGTCACTGAAAGCAAATTGAAGGAGCATCGAAAAGAAAATTGAAAAGAGTGTTGGTGCCAGTACACAATCCTGTTTTACTCCGCTGCTAACTGGAAATGACTCAGAGACAGTGCCATTGAAAGTTACTGTGTTGTGCATGTTTTTGTGAAATGACTGAATTATTGTGAGTAGTCGTGGGGGACAACCTATTCTTTGCAGAATACTGAAAAGACCTCTTCGACTTACCAAGTCAAATGCCTTGGTCGTCTATGAAGGCAATATAAAGATGTATATGTTGTTCACTGTGACGATCTGAGGCTGGACTTTGTAAAATTTCTTATATCATAAACCCACCCTTGGAAACCCTTGTATAATAACTCCTTTCCCTCCCCTCAAGTTGCCCCGCAGTCGCTCTGCACGAGTGAGTTCCCTTGTGATATTGTATTCCTGCATCAGTTCGCTCACCTCCCGAACATGCTATTTGCGGTCAACCATCCCACCGAACAACCTTGAGGAAATAATACCATTCCCCCCCCCCCCCCATTTTTGCCCTGTAGACAGCAAGGCGGAGTATCGTCCCTTGCTGGAAATGCATTGTCTAGACAGAGAACTCACGCCAAAGCCTGAAAAAGGATGGTCACCTCAGTCCGATTAACCNGGAAATGCATTGTCTAGACAGAAAACTCACGCCAAAGCCTGAAAAAGGATGGTCACCTCAGTCCGATTAACCTTGAGGGTTGAAGGTCAAACCCGCAACAGCGAAAGTGATTTTCATTGGATGGAAAAATGACCCCTCATTTGAATCACCCAATTGAACCATCAGCTAATCGTCATCGAACTCGAATAAATAGCCTGAACAAGCAAGATTCTGCCTTTTATGATCTGATCACTTGACGGTGAATGCTGGAAGGATCTGCACTCAGAACTTCGTCAGCATGATACATAACTGCATCCTAGGATATTAGCAAGTACATGACTTTTAAGATCTGATCACTTGATTGTGGACGCTTAAAGTGACTAGACTTAGTACTTCACTGGCGTGATACTTAACTGCGACTGCTACCTAGAGTACTAGTAAGTACGCAACCATGATTTTGGTATTGCACTTGTATTGTTCATTCGCTATGTCTCAAATATTCGATCGTGTTTGACCCTATTCTAATAATGCCTCTATTACCTTATATTAATATTATGAATTCTATTATTGCTTTTGCCGTGGGCTTCGACATGCCGCCATCCCATCATGGGGATGGTAGGTTGTTGTTCCAACTCGCCCATGTCTCTTTTAACGAGATGACAATACGGACGCTATGTACCTGTAGATATAATGATTGTTATTGAGACCATGTCCCATATTTCGTTAATTAAAATGTTTGAGTGGTCTAACATTGTCGCGATCCAACATATGCTCCCGCCGACAATGAAAAGACTTATATTAAATCCACAAATTGGATGTATATATGTACAATAGAGACCGACCGAATTTCGGCTTCGGCTTCGGTTTCGGCGCCGAAAGTGGCCATTTTATCACTTTCGGCCAAGTTTCGGTTTCGGCCGAAACTGAAAAGTTAACTTTCGGCTTAATTTCGGTTTCGGCCGAAAGAGAAAAGTTAACTTTCGGTTTTTCTTCGGTTTCGGCCGAAACTGACTTAGACTTTCGGCCATCCGGCCGAAAGTGACTCAGGTTTTCGGTCATACTCAGCGAAAGCGATATTTAACAACAAACTTAGGGACATTTAAGAACAAATTGAGCGATCTTTGAAAACAAACTAAACGATATTTAACAACAAACAAGGGACATTTAAGAACAAACTAAACGATCTTTAAAACAAACTAAGCGATCTTTAAACAAACTAAGCGATCTTTAAGAACAAACTAACCGATCCTTGACTACAAACTTAGCGATCTTTAACAACAAACTAAACGGTCTTTAACAATAAACTAAACGATCTTTAACAACAAACTAAACGATCTTTAACAACAAACTAAACGATCTTTACAACAAAAAACTAAACGATCTTTACAAAAACAAACTAAACGATCTTTAACAACAAACTAAACGATCTTTACAACAACAAACTAAGCGATCTTGAAGAACAAATGAAACGATCATTAACAAAACTGGACATCTTTAAGAACAAACTAAGCGATCTTTAAC